GGGCATATAAATGTCTAACACAATACATGTATTGAATGTACTTATTTTAACCAATGCATTGTTTTGTTTTTTTAATCTCACAAATAAGAAATGTTTTATAGTTTCTATTATAAAAAACAGTGATTATACAATTTATTTGCACCCCTTACACTGTTTTCTGTAAGGGGTGTAACCAGGAGTGTATTTCGTAACCTCTTACGATATAAGAGGGAAACAAAGTGTTTTATTACTTAATGCTTAGATTAAAATTTAATAATATATTTGTACATAAAATAAAATAGACTAGAAAGTCATTTAATTAATATTCACGTAATTACTAAATAATTACAAGATTTTTTTTTCTAATTATTTTAGTGTATTTTCAGTCACCTAATTATAAAGGAGAGATATCCGACCATTGCATTATTTTACTCACAAATAAATGTTTTATGGTTTTTATTATAAAACAAGGATTAATTTATTATACACCCCTTAACCCAAACACTCCAAGGAGGATATTTCGTGACCCCTTATTTGAAGTGGACAAGCTTTATTAGTCAATGTTTTATTTACCCAGCGTCGTTAATAAAAATCTAATGTAATTTTTCACAGAAATGATCTGACATAAAAAGCAAATTTTATCTAAAAACTTTTTAATTATCTACAAGGAGCAAACCGCTGACAAATGTCTGTATACTAATGCCAAAGTAATGCCAAAAATACAAATTAAATGCCAAAATTTCTCATATAATGCCCCACTAATGCCAAGCTGATTCCAATATAATACCACTAATACCACGAATAATATGTAACACATTTGCTTAACGAATTAACCTGTAACAATAGTGGTAGGTACGTGCACAGATTTTTTCCTAGGTAACTTAAAAGTCGTTAAAAAGTCTAATTATATTTAAAGAAGATATAATTCCAACTAATTGCATTATAAGGCCGATAATGCACATGTAATACCATTAAAATTTTAGCGTTTTTAATTTGGGTAACATATTTCTTTAACGAATTAACCTGTAACAATAGTGGTAGGTATGCGCACATATTTTTTCGCTAGGTAACTTATTAAGTCGTTAAACAGGCCTATAAAAGCTATAACAACATAGGTAACTAATATTTATAATTTCATTCGAGTTTTAATCTCAAATAGCAAATGTTTTTACTGGTGTATTTCTGAAGTGTTCATTATTAAAAGTAGATATTCTTCAAGTTATGTGAAGTAATAAGTAATGTTTCCGGTGAGACCGCGTATATGTCACCGGATTCTGATTAGTATAAAGACTTTTTTCTATAGAAATAGTTTTTTCTATATTTTTCTTTCAAAATAAGATTAATTTCTTCTTATTCTTTTAAATATTACAGTGTTTCTTTTTCCTAAAATGTTATACTTAATTTTCGCTTAAAATTAAAAAATCACAAATGGAGGAAAATATACGTTATTGAATAAAGTTTATACAAATCACTTTACCATAACAAAAAAGTAAAAACATGCGGCGGAAGATGATTCAGGTAGCATTTCTCACATATTTATTTATTAAAATCGAGATTAAAAATAATAAACTTGCGTAACATGTTATACATGAGATAGAAAGTTTCAGAATCGATTAATATGGCAATACGCTACGCAGTCAACTTATTCCTATGCGCGGATGAGCGTCTTCAAGACTCTTCCTTCGGCCAGGGTCACGACGCCGTCGAAGAGGAATCGGCCTACGTTTGGCTAAACAGGCTGGACACGGAGTACGATATTGGCGAGTCTGACTATTTATAAAAATTTGCAAAGTAAAATATGTTGGAAAAATAATTAGTCCATACATATATAAAAGCTCAAAGGGTTTTTTTGTTGCATCCATCCCGCCGAAAGCGCTTTACCAATCTTGATGATTCTTTTTTTAAATGAAAGGTATATATGTGTAGATTTGTTATGAAGTATTTTTATAGTGCTTAATGGCTATTTCTTTGTGTAAAACGACTAAATACTAAAACATACCTGAAAACACCTACACACAATACCTCCAGAAATAAATTAGTTGTCATTGTCAGTGGTGTGTCAGTTAGATTATATATTACGTTTTTAGATATTTTAGAGTGAGTTGATGCCGCCAGCTTTAGATACATAAATATTAGCACAAAGGTTCGTTTAAACGACATTAGTGAATTAGCTACACAAAGCGATTTTAGGAAATTCATCCTCTTAGAGAGTAAAATTATCTCGGAACAGTTTGTTGTATGAAAATTCCTTACTATTTCGTCTAGAAGAATGAAATCCTACAAAAAGAATTAGAAGAAATTTTTGAAATTCATCAACCAAATGGGTAAAGTTAGTAAAAATTTATATAAAACTTGGTGACGTCTGGATTATACACATAAAAATTGGCACAAAGGTAAAGCGAATTTAT